CGACTGCGTGAAACACACAGGTGTATAAAAATACACGTGAAACACACAGTAGTATGAAACTTCAACTGCGTGAAATACACAGCAGTATGAAAATTCGGCTGCGTGAAACACACAAACTTCACGCATGCGTGGAGTGTATGGAGTGTACGGGAGTGATTCACGCAATGCTGCGAATAGTCACGGCCATATTCTAATCTTGTTATTCGCAATTCTAAAGTATATTTTTTCATTATTCACACTTCTTCTCAAGAACCAAGAGATGATGTGTCATTAATCAATAAGATTGATTTGATTGTTAATCGCTAGATAATTAGATGTGAGACAATCTCAATCAAATGAAGTGCCTATAATTCGTAATTCAGCAATGCTACCTCAACAATATTGTTAAAGCCCGTATTCGCACAAAAATAAGCAGTTGGTTGTTCTGAAGTTGTCTATTCTCTAGTAACTAAGTTCACACGAAATCGATGCCTTACTAGCTTGTCGTTGTTCTTTCAAGTAAGACTGATGCTTTTTTATCATTTGAGTTCTATGTTTTTTATTATTGAATATCGTACGTACTGGGATGACAGTGTTATGTGGAGTGAATACAGCACGGCCGAGAAATATGCACTTGTAATGTTTTGGCAAGAGATTGAAGTAACTTTGAAAATATATTATAATTCATATATCTTGTTAATTAATATACATATATAAATAAAGTAGCGTATGTATGAGAAGAACATGAGAAAATAATTCATTCACAATTACCCCCGACATCCCTTGAAGTTTTATCTTACTCTTCAGGTAAAAATATGAAGAAATATTCTAATCTTGTTATTCACAATATTTTGAAAAATTACGATACCGTCACTTAAATTTTCTGAGTCGATTCCATAACTCCATAATAATTCCATAATAAATATTTTCAAAATATCTTTTTTTTATTATTGATACTCCCTCTCAAGCACCAGGAGACGATCTCTCATACTAAATCAATATTATTTTTTAATTCTGCTAATACATCACGACTCATTAATTCTGTTGATGAATGCGCGTATATGAATAAAAAGCCATATGTCCGAGCCCAGCAGAAATAGTACATCGTCATTGCGAAATCTACCGTGTGAGTGGGTAGCAACGTAATATAGACGAATTGACTGGGATTCGACAGCCGAGTGGATTCTCTCCAATCCTCTCAATCCACCCAATAGTTTGTTCCTCTTTTTTTCCCTCCACTCTCCCTTCCGTCTGTCGTCCGCGGAGATAGTTGAAGCAAACCCACACCCCTCGTTCAGCACACATGCGGAATCGGTGGGAGCATAATTATGAGCTTGCGCACAACTGGGTTGAAATGGGTAAAGGGGGTAATAGAGATTCCCGTGTACCGTGGGACGAGCTAGCCCCGGGTATCCTATCTGTATAGAGCCACGAATGAACGCGCAGTCGAAATCTCGTTTCTCTGCATGTTAACATATTATTTTTTTAGTCAGTTTTTGGGCTGCCGGCTGTGCACACGCGGAGAGCATCTCCAATACTCACGTTTATATTTGAAGAGGGAGAAGAGAGAGAGAGAGAGTTATTGGAGATCTCAGGGAATACTTTCAAACAGAGTTACAATAAACAGATAAACAAAATCGCGACAGTTGGGTACGGGAAGTTTCGTGAAGAAATAAAACCTCAGGGTAAATACGAGTAGTTGGAGCAGCCTGGACTTTATACAGTGATATGCCAAGGCATGCGCCGTAAACATAACAAGATTGATGTCTCACGGAGCGCAGGTATTACTTTTTTTCCCCTCCGTTTTCTTACTCTCGCCACGTTTTTATCATTGAGCGTTGAGATTGTTGGGGGATTATTTCAGATCCTAACATTGGCGCTTCTGAGCTTGTCCTTGGTGGTCCTGGGGGAGGATGAGTTCAACAGCACTAATGAGCCCCTTCACTGCCCCTTCGGGTGCATATGCTTGTCATCGAAGCAAGTGAGTTTTTCACTGTGACGGGATTAATTTTTGGGATTGATCGGTTCGTTGCTGGAGTGAAGGGTTTGTAATTGAAAGGAATGAATAGGGATATGGGTGGAAATATATTTCTGAGTGAAGGGGGAGGTGGAGTGGAAGAGCAATTTACTGTACGTGCAGATCTGCTGTTTTTCCACTCATGGAAGTAATTGTTCACTAGCGAACGGGCGCTTCCCACTCGTCGCGAGATTGTATTATATTATATTAATTTATTTTGTTTTCTTTCCAATTTTTCTTTGCGGTTAGATTAAATTAAATTTATTGGATTCTATTCCCATTGTAGTATACAAATTGTGGGAAGTTTTTCTCATTTTCAAATGAAGAGATATTTATGTTAAATAATGTCAATATAATTAAATAATTCCTCTCAAGATATCAGATCATGAAAATGAAATTTTTAGTTTTCATGATCTGATTTCATTGAGAGGAAATGAAAGAATGCAGGGAGAGATGATCAGCAAGAAAATGAAAGAAAACGATTTTTTATTTTTATGAAAAATTTCGAAACTGGTTTCTTTTTTTTAATGACGAAAAAATATCAATATGTTCCGTTTCTATAGCCTAATTTCAATGGAAGAAAGTGAAAAAAAGAACGGAGATACGTGATCAGCAAGAAAATAAAAATTTCGATTTTTCAATGTCTCCGGAAAGTTTTAAAATTGATATATTTTTTCAAATAATGAAAGAATACCTATCAATTCAATTTCTACCCTCGCATTTTGATAGAATGCATTAAGAAAATAGCAAAGAATAAAAATCGAAGACGAAAAATTTTATCGGTTTAATATAATTTTGATTTTTTGTGGCAGTTTCACAGAGAGAAATGTTGGATGAAAGTCGTGGGATAATTTACTGGTAATTTCAATGGTAATTTTAACTACAAGGGAATTATTTTTTAAATTTATGCTTTCTCAACCCCTCTATAGGGTTATAAGCACAACAAAGAATAATTGAGAGAAAAAAGAAAAAGAATACGGAGTAAGTACATCATTTTACAGCATATGTACATGTATGTTCAATTTTGCTTAAATGTTGATTTCATTTTTAACAAGAAATTGGAAAATAATTAATAATGCTTGAACATGAATGTCAGCTAGAAATGATTCAATATTGAACGGAAGAGAACCAGCTCGAGCTTTTACAAGGCTTCCAATTAGTTTTCCCCTGCTTTCCTCTGATCTAGGACATTGCCGTAATATATGGTTCAAATCTTGTGAGTCATACCCACGTTCACACTGTGCTTTGTCGATTATTTTAACTCGAGCAAGAGAGCCTTTCAGGCTATAGTGGCTAGCTCTAGCCCTATTGATAAATACTATTACATTACAACTACAATGGAATTGTCAATGAAATTATATTTACAGTAATAAACTTCGTAGATTAAACTAGGATTCATCGTTCGATTTACTATGGCAAATAGTGTTATCAACATTATGATGTAATTTTCACTTTAATGTACTAGTTGAATGTACAATGTTTATGGTTACCGTAACTATTATTTTTTGGCAATTCCCTTGTAGTTGAAATTACCATTGAAATTTCTCTCAGTGAAGGATTTTTTATTGGCAACGAATGGATTTGGTTGGAGATGAGGGTCTGTTCGGTCTCACCAAATGCTCATTCGTTAATAGTTAACAAATGCACATTTGAGAAGGCTTATTCGACTCGATTTTCACCTTTCAAGTGAAATCACTTCACTTTCGTTAACTATTAACGAATATTCAGTTGGTCATATTCAACTCTACCATTCGTGAATAGTTAACGAATCTCGTTTGGAATGAATGAATCAGTCTGTCAGTGTGGAGCGAAATGTAATTCAATAAAAGAATACCTGTTTGTGGAGGATTTTACGATTCGTTCGGTAAAAAAACCATCTATGGATGCGAACGTTATCGATCTGTACAGGAAAGTTTCTCACATCGGTAGGGTATTTTTTTCCTGCGCTTATTTGAAGGTCGTGGGGACGAATGGAAGTGGAATTTTACCGAACGCGTTCGGTAAAAAATCATTCTCTGCTATAGAGATACGCAATATTGAGTGATCATTCACGTGCTCTGGGATGATTTTTTATTGAATGCAGGGTAAATTTTACAGTTTCGGCTCAAATTACCCTCACGTTGAGGAAATTTTCCCGGGCCAACGGGCAAAATTCGCTGTTCGTCTTACACTTTTTCCCTGATATACACGCAGACAGGAATATGTGACAAACTCGTGCGAGTCCCTTCAAAAATTAATGTGCTACTGGTACACTAGCCGTGGGACCAAACAGGAGTCACCAAAAAATTCTAATGGCCCAACGAAAAATTCGAATGTAACACTCTAATTTTTAACACTCCATTAATCGCGCAAACGTCACAAACACCGTTGATCGTCCCGTACAAACATAAATCGACATGATGATAAATTTGAAAGATCTAAGAAAAATCTTTAAAAAATCAAGAGTGATCTAGATCGTATACTTGAAGAAGTCCCGCGCGGAGGGAAATATTCAATAAAAATTGCGTATCTTTTCCACAATTCCGGAGCGAAATTTGGGGAATTTTACGGAAGTGTCACGGAATTTTTGCAGAATGTTGCGTAATTTTTCCCTGAATCCCCTGTGAAAAATTACGATACCGTCACTTAAATTTTCTGAGTCGATTCCGTAATCGGTGAGCGAACTGTGAGTTCCCTAATTGTTACTGAACATTTCTCTCCGCGCGTGGGATTTTTTTATGTTCAGTATTACTCTTGAAATTCGGGTGCCACATCCCATTTTTTGGTGACCATGGTACGGTATTAGTGAATAGCGTGTTTTAGTGAATAGCTCACTAATTTTTGCTAGAATTTTCTCGCCGCGTAGGGTGAAAAAGAACTGAAAGTCGAGTTGGCTTCACGATTACTTGGCTTGTTCGGTCGTTTTTTGGTAATTTTTTTCCCCGTCTATGCGGACTGTTATCAAGGGAAACACTGGAGAGTTTTATGATATAGAAATGATAGCTTTCCCTGGATCTTATCTAGTTGCGGAATAACTTGAGGAAGAGACGAGAGGACAAGTACGTGTATACAATACAATTCAACTACTAAAGGTTATGCGACGACGAGACGAGTCATTGTTCATATTTTCACCAACATAATAAAGATATCACTCTTTATTTTGATATTTCACGAGATATAAAATCCGGTCGATAACAACTAATAAATAAAACAGGGGTTTTCGTAGGGATTTAACATTCATGATTTACCACTTCGTTATTGAACTAATGGATTTGTAATGAAACGAACAAAATATAGATATATCGGTGCAAACATACGTCTAGTGAAAGAGCAGGGATGGAGTAGACGGCAAATTTACTGTACGTGCAGATTTATTGTTTTTCCACTCGTGAAAGTAATTGTTCATTCCGATTTTTAATATTGGTATATCATATTTTCATTCACATAATGAAGTTGTAACTCTTCATTTTTCATATTTTTCGGTATAAAATTTTCTCGATAAGAACTGAACAAAAAATATGGGTTTTCACACGATACTTTTAACTGATTGTGTATTCCACAATAAGAGAATTCGGTTTGGAACGGATCATTGAATATTTGATGGGGGAGAATACTCTCTCCTTACCAATTCGCGACATTGAGGTCGTATTGCACTGAGAAAAAAAATTTCCAATATCTGAAACATATGTTCTTGAGAGAAGTAAATTATTTTCAGTGACTTAAATCTCAGAAAGTGTGCACTTCACGGAACTCGAATAAATTTTCATTCACCACTATCGAATTGACGATTCTTCTACGCGATTTAAGTAAGTTCATTTCCAACAAAATCATACTTGAGTACAAGAATATTTTAAAGCATGAGGCCTTTTTCGGGTCATGTGAGTTGAAATGCCTGAGAGAATTAAGCAATCGAAGAAAATTTACTTGTCTCAAGAAAATATGTTTCAGACATTAGAAAATTTTTTTCTCAGTGTGTGTAGCCACTCCATCCGACTCATAATGAAAGAAATAAAAAAGAATAACGTCATAAACAAATCAGTAGCGAAGTGGTAAACCGGGTCAAGTCGATTTTGACATTTGGCCAGTTTATGATGAATATCTCGGAATCTAAGAGAGATAACAAAAATTTTCTCACGACCTTTCTTATAACCCTCAGTTGGCTCTACAAAAAAGGTTATGACAAAAATTGTTGTATCTCTTTTAGATTCCGAGATATTGTCAAAAACTGGTCAATAGTCAAAGTTGACTTAACCCGCTTTACCGCTTCACTACTGAAATTTAATGACAGGCTCGAATTACAGTAAATTTAGAATTTAACTTTCGCGATTTACCACTCTCTTATTGGACTAAAAGATTCGTGATAAAACTGATAAAATATGGGTATATCGGTGCGAACATTCGTTTAATGAAAGGGGAGAGATGGAGTAGAAGACAAATTTACTGTACGTGCAGATTTATTGTTTTTCCACTCATGAAAGGAACTGTTCTCTCTGATTTTTTATGTCAGTTATGCTGAGTGTTATCAAGAGAAAGACTGGAGAGTTTTATGATAGAAAAGTGATAGCTTTTACTGGATCTGATGTAGCTACGGAATAACTTGAGTCAACCGCTGAAAGCTTTCACGTCGTTCAATTGAAGATATGGAAAATCAATTCCGCGTTGATGGAATGTACCCTTGTTTCTATTTTCATCAACATAATAAAGATGTGACTCTTTATTTTGATATTTCACGAGGTATAAAATTCTATCGATAACAACTGAATTAAAAAATTGGAGATTTCATACGGATTTAACATTCATGATTTAGCACTTCGGTATTGAACTAAAGGATTTGTAATAAAACGGATACAATAGGAATATATACAATATGAATATAGGGGAGAGATGGCGTGGAACACAAATTTACTCTTCGCACAGATTTATTGTTTTTCCACTCATGAGAGGAATTGTCCATTTCGATTTTTTATGTCAGTTATGCCGATTTTTATCGAGAGAAAGACTGAACAATTTTATGATATAAAAATGATCGTTTTCACTGGATATTATGTAGCTGCGGAATAACTTGAGAAAGAGATGAGGGGACAAGTGTGTAATTGTGTATGCAATACATATCAACTGATTAAAAGCTTTCACGTCGTTCAATCGAAGATATGAGAAAGCAAATATTCGTCGATAGAACGCATCGTTCATATCTTCACAAATATAACGATCTCTTGATAATTCATGAGAAGAGACAAGACATTTTTAACCCTCGATCACTCGCTCGATGAGCGCAGCGCCGCCCGTTTTCGTTCTTTTAAATATTTTAGCGCGTTTCTCGATGCTTAAGGCATATCCCAAGACACACGGACCCAAAAGTTAGTCCCTATAGTGTTCCAGAAAAAATTCTAAATAACTTAATTTATTTCATTCTCATAAGCTACAGAGTTTTTCTATTCCCATGTGTCATTCATACAGGTAACAATAACTGTTTGAATCAAATAAGAAATTATTTGTTAATTAATGTTTTGAATCAAATAAGAAATGCTTGCACGAAATTTCCATTTTTTCGAGTTGAATATCGTAAAAACTGTGTAGTACAAAATGTTACAAAAAATTCATCGTATTCGGAATTTTTCAAGCTATCACGGATTCAGTAGCGAAACGGTAAACCGGGTTAAGTCGATTTTGACTATTCGCCGGTTTTTGATAAGCATCTCGGAATCTAAAAGAGATAGGAAAATTTTTGTCATGACCTTTTTTGTAGAGCCAATTGAGGGTTATAGAAAAGGCCATGAGAAAAATTTTGCTATCTCTCTTAGATTTCGAGATATTCATCAAAAACTGATCAAAAGTAAAAATTGACTTGCCCGGTTTACCGCTTTGCTACTGGATTAGTTTTTTAAGAACATGGTAAGAACCGTTTTCTCATAAGTCCCGTTTGGCCTACGTCTCGCGTGTTAGATACCCATATTTTATTATTTATTTATCATTTCCTAAACTGTGTAGTACAGCTAGTTACTATTTTTTTCAACAGCTGGAGACTTATAAACATTATCTACGAAAAAAATGAGGACAATCGGAAGAAAAATGTCTTTTCTAGGGATATACCTTAACAATTCTAAAAACATAGAGTTCCTAGTTCAATCCTTTGACTAAGCGTTGGCGTTGTCCGTTTTTTTCTCGTGAAATTCGCTTAGCAAAGAAAAGAAATGAACGCACAGAAAAGCGGCGCCGCGCGGCCCGGTGCGATTGAGTCCCTGCTGCCCGCTCAAGCGACAGTGTTGCAACACTCACTGCCACACTTGAAATGCGCGCATAGCGGTAAGCGCCAACGTGGCAACAGGGCGTCCGGTTTACCCCAGCGGCTTTGCGCCAACCGTGCGACGGATGAAGACTGGTGGCCGGGCGCGAGTGATCGAGGGTTAATGCGGAATAGCAGAGAAAATGAATATCTTGACGCCGGCCACCCCAGAACCGTTTTTACATTGAAATTGTCGAGAATTATGGAGAACGTTCACTCATTCATATTCCCTCGGGGCCAAATTCCCTGAATAAATTACAATGACAATTGAATTCGTCTGGTTTTCTGAACAGGTTTTGTGCAACACCGGAGGTCTCCGGGACATCCCATCATACCTCAACATTGGCATCGAGGATCTGTCCCTATCGAAGAATGATTTTCGAGTGATAGAGTCGGATGCATTCACTGGTCTACGCTCGCTGCGCAAACTCAGCCTAGATGGAAATAATATCACAGCTATCAAGCCATTTGCATTTCGCGGCTTATCCAGACTCACGGATTTGTCAATTCAGTACACACCGCTTAACTACATCGGCAGTTATTCATTCGCAATGTTACACAATGTGACACTCATACTTCTAGCGCACAATCGGATAAAGTATATAGATGAAAATTCATTCGCTGGAACGAGTAATATCAAATTAATTCTGTTGACTAATAATCCATTGGTGACAATTCACTCGCGCGCATTTTCGGGATTGAATTACGTTGAGAGGCTTATATTTCCAACGGGTATACGAGTCATTGAGTCTGATGCCTTCAATGGGCTCCAGTATGTTGGACTTTTAAAGCTAACATTCATGGATTTGAACAGTCTATTGCCCTTCACATTTCGCGGTCTGTGTTACATTCAAGTGTTGAATATTCAAGAGAGTGATCTCGGCACGATAAAACCTGATGCTTTCGCGGGTATGAGTCACATAGAGAGCATAAATATCCTGAATAATAAAATTGATTCTATTCAGGAACTGAAGATAATCAACGAAAGTGCGGTGACACTATTCAGATTTCATGGCAATCATGTTCTACATTCACCGAGAGCCAGGGATACGAGCTTACAGGTGCAGAATGTCTCGACACTTGGTAATTATTTTCCCTGCGATTGTCAGGTCCATGAACTGTTTGACAGTGACTTTGTTAATGATACTGTCAAGCAGTTTCGCGAGGAGAATTACTGCATCTCACCGTTGGAATTCAATGGTAGCCCGATGAGTAATGTTGACTTTGATTCAATTGCCAAGTGTCACGACAAAGTTGTGCAGGATAATCTTGGCTCATCTGCACAGACACATTCCGGGGTGAGAATGTTCTTTCTCGTTGTTGCGGCTGTGTTTAATGCTGTTCGATAAACTTGAGCTTTTTGGGGTCAGTAGGGAAGTGGTAAAATGCTACAGAATTAATAAATCCTTGATTTTTTAACCTTGAGTTTGAACAACTGGAATTTTAAGCGAATAATTTCCAAAATTATTGTCGTATTCGATAATAAAAGAAGTTGAATCGTTTCGTCCGATTCATAATTGAATGACATTAAACAGAATATCATGGACAAATTTAACGCAAAACTCAAATTACTGTTAATTTCGAATTTAACTTTCACGATTTACCACTTCGTTATTGGACTGACGGATTTGTAATAAAGGGGGTAAAATATGTATATATCGGTGCAAACATATGGCTAATGAAGGGGGAGAGATGAAGTAGAAGACCAATTTATTGTATGTGCAGATTTATTGTTTCTCTACACAGAGAAAAAAGTTGGATAAAAATTATTTAGGAAATCGTGATGAATTTTACGGTGCAAAAGGTAATTCTGGATCGAAATGTAAAATGCGATTTTGAGTAACACAATGATTTTCAAATAGAATCGACTTCCAAAATGATTTCCATGATTTTCATGATTACTGGTTTAATTGATTTTCAACATTTTTACTCGTGCATTCCAATGATTTTCAATGATTTTTTTGGTGAGCTGAAAAACGACGTTAATCCACAGGGTACAATTTATCTTTAGTTTTCATTAATTGCCAATGATTGCCAAAGGTTGGAAATCGCGCGATTTCCATTATTTTATTTTTTATTTTTAACGGAATTTTTTGCAAGTTCCAAGGGACTAGCACTGAGAGAAAAATATGATTCTTCTGACTATATTCCATCACCATCGAACTATAGTGAAAAAGTCCTCAACAATTTTGCACGGATTACGGCCTCTATGGCCGGAGAAGTGATTACTACAATGGAATGTAGTCATTGCAACTATTTTATAGTTCCACTCACGATAGATTTGTCGTGGTTACTTTTGAACTTTGGTTAGTTTAACTGCATTTTGATTTGCAAAAATTACGCTTGTGAAGTTACTATAATGTTATGTGCCGCATACAAAAAAAAATCGTATCGTTCACCAAAACTGCCTCAACTATTTTCTTATTGTAAATCGAACTTCAGATTTTTCTCTCAGTGTGTAACAGGCCATCGTCCGAGGGCCAATGATTTCCATTATGTCCGCGATTTCCACATGATTTCCAAACGATTACACCGACAAGCGACACCGTGATTTCCACAGTTACTAGCCCCTTGGAAAATAGACTGAGAAAGTAGTGAAAATCGAGTTCGCTCCACGATTACTTGACTTGCTCGGTATTTTTTCTCCAACTTTTTTCCCCGTGCACTCATAGAAGTCATTGTTGATTTTGATTTTTGATGTTAGTTATGCTGATTGTTATCAAGATAAAGACTGGAGAGTTTTATGGTATAGAAATGATAGCTTTCACTGGATCTTACGTAGCCGCGGAATAACTTGAGGAAGAGACGAGAAGACAAGTGTGTAATGCAAAACATATCAACTGCTAAGGCTTTCACGTCGTTCAACTGGAAATATGGGAAATCAATTATTCGTCGATAAAACGCGTCATTGTTCACATCTTCATCCACATAACTGTAATTTTGTAATTCATAAGGAGAGAGTGGACATTTTTAATGATGAATAGGAGAGATAATGAATAATAAACCCTGTCTTGACGCTGGTCACCCTTGGAGGACCATTTTTACGTGTAAATTGGCGAAAGTTATGGAGAATATTCAATTATTTATATTTGCTTGAGGGGTGATGTCGGTGAGAAGAGAAAAAGCTTTCCCTACATTTTCATTGCAATTTCATTCCGTCTCGTCATGGTGATAATACTGAATAAAACAAATATGAAAGTATTTTGGGTGTTTTTCTTACCCTCATTTATTATACTTTCGGAGTTTCAGGGTGGGGTAAAATGGACACTTTAGACTTTTTCAAAATTAATCATAACTCAGAAACAAATTTATCAATGGCGCTCAGTTTAGGCTCATCACAAAGGGGAAGAATTGTTCTTAACTGCATTAAAAAATTATTAAATTTCATCACCATTTCAACCTGTCATTAACATTTTTAAAAAAGTCAAAAGTGTCCATTTTACCTCAACCTCCCCTACGTCCTGCGTCATAAAATTTTGCATGTATGAGGGTGAAAAATATGCGAAGAAATATATGTCGAATATATGATTCATATACTCATCGCATATGTTGCGATAAGTTTTCATGTGAATCTCCATACTATATACAAAGCGAGGGGCTACTCACTGCCGGATTAAGTGACACCATGATTCCGAAGTGGTAGATAGCCAAATTTTTGTTAAAACCTTTTTTCCAGCTTTCAATACGCTCTACGAAAAAGGTTTTAACAAAATTAGAGCTTTTTTAGAACGTGCTATCGAGAGCTACAAAAAAGGGAATTGCAAGTAAAAGATAATAAAATTCCGATAGCTCCCTTTGATTCGGAGATATTCCTCGAAAACTCAGCTAAGAGCTAAGTCAACTTAATAGTTTTTTCATCACGCTGTGACGAAAAGTGAACTTTTCGGCACGCTCCGCGTGCCTAAAAGTCCAATTTCCGCCACATTGTGATGAAAAATATTGTTCGTAACTCGTGAAAAAATGTTTTTTAGCTCGTGGGATTATATTACTCGCCTTCGGCTCGTGATATAAACCTCCCACTCGCCAAAAAACACTTTTTTGCACTCGTTACGAAATATACTATTTCATCACGCTGTGCGAAAAAGTAACTTTTTAGGCACGCTTTGAATCCCGGGTTTCGAAGTTAAACACTCATGGAGAGAGAATAGAATAGAATATTTTATTTCCTTGATGCTACTGTTAGTTTTACATCTACCCAAGCCAAAGAAAAATATCTCCAATAATACACCAATAAATTGTTTTTATAATACTAATATATAATAACCAATCATAATATCATAGTATCACGATTTAAGCGATTGTTCAATTAAACAATCGTGGATTTTCCAATGAAAGCTTGAATTTCCAAACTCATCCTAAGAATTGAACATTACATAAAAAATACACAGAATTTTCATGTGATTTTATGGTTGCTAAAAATTTCAAGCTTTCTCACTTGAAATTTCAAGATTAATTTTCAACAGTGTTCAGTAGACAGCAATCGACATCTCGTGGTTCCCCCGTGAAGTTGATGTTGCGACCAGCAGTACCTCCTAGAGGTAATCCTACTCCTTATCATCAACTGTTATCAGAACCCTCCATCGATACTGGCACAATGTTCCGCGAATTACCCTGTGAATTTTCGCAATTTTCCAATCCCTTCCCATCAATGAAACTGTCAGCTGGTACCGATAGATATTGCGTGTAAATAAATAACTCCATGTGTTGAAAGACCACTCGACACCATCACCAAACAGTGAGTAATGATTTACCAAATAATGATGCACACAAAACTCGATCTTGGACGATAATGGACACTTGTCCAGTATTTTTAGCTCGGCTGTTTTATTTTTAGGGTATCGCTAACGCCTTCAGCATCAAGTTCTGTAGCTGCAGAGTCTCGAGAATGCTGCAGCGATGACAAAAAGTTTCGGTACAAAGCCAAACATAGGAAGTCAGTCTTATGTCAACCCGTTAATTTGAATTGGTTGCAAGGTTTGCAAGACAGACATTCAACGGAGATAGTTGAATCATCAGCATCGCAAATGAGTGTTGCATTGTTGGGAGTTTCGTCGTCGAGTGTTGCCTGTTATGATGAATTCAATTCAACTTGAATGGATTTAGAACGGGTGATTTGTTGAATATCAAGTTGCGAGCTTTGGAAGTAAGTTCAGCAATGATAGAGCTATGGCGTGGCTTTGAATTTCACTTCTAACACCGCAATCTTGTAGAGATTAACGCAGCAGCGAAGCGGTAAAAATATCTCTGAATCTGACGAAGAGAGCGAAATTATCTAGGGGAGGTTCACCTCGGGAAAAAACTTTTGCGTTTTGCGAAAAAAAAAACTTTAAAAACACAATTTTCCACGTGATTTTTCCTCGGGAAGCCGATTTTGTAGGTCAAATTCGTCTCCGACCGCTAAAAATTAGAGATTCGAATTTTTTTTAATCGAAAAATTAACTTTTGAAAAATCTCCAACGGATTTTTTTTTCGAAATAGTTTTTTTCATCACATTTTCCGTAAAGCGTTGTTTGGCGTCGCCTTTTAACGAATTGCTATTTCATCACGCTGTGACGAAAAGTGAACTTTTCGACACGCTCCGCGTGCCTAAAAGTCCAATTTCCGCCACATTGTGATGAAAAATATTGTTCGTAACTCGTGAAAAAATGTTTTTTGCACTCGTTACGAAATATACTATTTTGACACTGCTGCTACATTCGCCTCGTGCCGAAATGTGCGTTTTCGTTTATCTTATTTATTTATTTATTTTACTGGCTCGGATAGACCAACAGCCAAATGGCCAATGACAGGGTAAATAACAGGCCAATAACATATATATATGAATCAAAAATAAAACAGCAAACGAATTATGTGTCATTAACAGAGTGTTATGGCGAAAAAAAGTAACAAAACTTAGAGCTATACATTAGTGTCTGAAACATAATGCCTTGTACTTAATAGATATTTGTACACTTTCGATGCAATGACAGTTATATTATCCGTATAGACATCAATGTCGGTATCAGAACTAACTAGATCATTAACAGCATTTGTCAGTCTATAAAGCGGCGAGTGCAACGGGTGAGACTACTTTTTGTTTGCGAGTACACGAAAAAGTACTTTTCGGCACGAGGTGAACGTAGCAGCAGCGTCAAAATAGTATATTTCGTAACGAGTGCAAAAAAACATTTTTTCACGAGTTACGAACAATATTTTTCATCACAATGTGGCGGAAATTGGACTTTTAGGCACGCGGAGCGTGCCGAAAAGTTCACTTTTCGTCACAGCGTGATGAAATAGTATATTATGTCATTAGGCGATAAAAGTATTATCTGGCGAATGTGGCTTTATAATCCAAGCCGAAGGCGACCGCCGCCAGCCGCCTTCGTCTCGGATTATAATCACATTCGCCAGATAATGCTTTTAACGCCGTGTAATATACGCTATTTTATGTTGTTGGGCCCGAAAACTGGGCCCGAACTTGGGCCCTCGCTTCGCTCGGTTAGATTTATTTATTTATTATTTATTATTCATTTTTTTAATAAATACTCGTTTCGCTCGGTTAGATCGCGGTTTATTGGACCTAATGACATAATAGTATATTTCGTAACGAGTGCAAAAAAGTGTTTTTTGGCGAGTGGCAGGTTCCCCTTCGGCTCGTGATATAATCCCACGAGCTAAAAAACATTTTTTCACGAGTTACGAACAATATTTTTCATCACAATGTGGCGGAAATTGGACTTTTAGGCACGCGGAGCGTGCCGAAAAGTTCACTTTTCGTCACAGCGTGATGAAATAGTATATTATGTCATTAGGCGATAAAAGTATTATCTGGCGAATGTGGCTTTATAATCCAAGCCGAAGGCGACCGCCGCCAGCCGCCTTCGTCTCGGATTATAATCACATTCGCCAGATAATGCTTTTAACGCCGTGTAATATACGCTATTTTATGTTGTTGGGCCCGAAAACCGCGATTCTAACCTCGCTTCGCTCGGTTAGATTTATTTATTTATTATTTATTATTTATTTTTTTAATAAATACTCGTTTCGCTCGGTTAGATCGCGGTTTATTGGACCTAATGACATAATAGTATATTTCGTAACGAGTGCAAAAAAGTGTTTTTTGGCGAGTGGCAGGTTCCCCTTCGGCTCGTGATATAATCCCACGAGCTAAAAAACATTTTTTCACGAGTTACGAACAATATTTT